CATGCTGGTATTTCCATAGACAGTGAAAACATGATGAAGCTCCATTCATACATTGTGCAGTATTGGTTAATTTATATAGATCTAACAGATGTGTCATGCTCTTGTGAGAGAGACAATAACTTCATATTCTGCATGATAAAATAAGGAAATTATGACAAAAAACAATAAAAATCCTCAACAATGACTCCCAAGTTATGGTTCAGTGTAAACACAAGAAGGGTACAGATCATTAAAACTGTTTTAGCAAGACGGGTACAGTATCAGAAAGTTCGCCTCCATTATTTACTAATTTTTATCAATATTCAAAGATATGTATACAAGTGTCTGTCCGGTAACATGAGGTAAAGACAATAAAGTTAAGATTCAGATATGAGTTAAAGTGAAGTAAAGCAATTTTAGGCATAAATTTGCTTGTGTTATCGGAGTGTGTTGACAAAAACAAAACACAAATCAAAGAGCACAGCAATATATGTGCATATATTTAACAAAGCATGTTATGGATGCATAAACAAGCTAAGACAAACTATTTTCTTAATATGATTCAAATGTTTTTATGACCCCACAGATTAAATGCAAGCTGTCTTTAAAAGTTTTATGGGTTATCCCGCCTGTTTGTAAGGAACTGATGTTGAGATCTTCTCACAAGATCCGGTTGTGGTACAAATCATTTATTTACTGTTAATCTGTGTTGCACAAAAATGCTTACATCCCAGCAATCGGAACGTCATCGGCTATTATCTGTAGGAAACAATACAGAGTGAAAGTAGTTCTACCATTGGGTCAGATTTAAACATATCTAGAGAGAGTGTACAAATGTACATACAGTCTGTTTCGGTACAATCATGATTGAAAATATGTCTGACAACAATTTTGAATTTAAATATGCCCATTGATGCACAGTTTGGAACAAATTCCAACTAAATATCAACAAAATAACTTCCCAAAAATTAATGTTTTACCAACAATTTTCCCAAAAGTAAGAAGCTAAGGCCTCCTCGAAAAAAATAGGGAGAAAAAACCCTGAAATATGCAAAGCATGAAAAATTATGTTTCAACTGTGCTGGTTCAGGGCCAAGGTCAAAAGTGAAGGACAATGGTTTAACTTAACTCTAACCACCCTGAGTCCAGGAAATTATAAATAAGTCATAACCAGAAATAATCATATCTTAAAGGAATAGGAATGGATGGGTTGATGTCTGTCTTATATAAATATTCATCATTAAAAAAGAGGTACCATGACAGTTTTTTGTTGACATCAACCCTTTAAGTGAGAAATTCGTGTTTTAAGACACTGTTTTTTACTTGAGAAATAAGTTCATGGGCGCCGCCATTTTGGCGTTCTGTCATTCTCGCGAGACAGACGAGACCGAGATTGTGACGTGTTATACCCACTTCCGGTAAAGGTGTACACGCTGGTACAACTGAAATATATCTTGACGAAGAACTTAATTAATCTTATTGCGTACATTATTTATTATTTATGAAAACATCATATGGAACTGCATTGCTTTAATTAATTAATTGAAGACGCCGCGGCATTAATTATCATTAATTTTGTCCGATTTTCAAGCTTGCTGATGATCCCACCACATGATTTAAGCAATGACTGCTTAGTTTTCAAAGATAAACCATCAATTTAATTTGGGTTCTTTGAGAAACTTCTTCAAATTGACGATATATCCTTTTATTTGGTACTTAATTTTCGCTAGACAAGCTGTCTGAATAGGGTACATCGCCGGTCATGTATCTTTTTCTCAGCGGTAAATATCAACTAAATCCAATATGCAGATATTTCCTGAGGACGCGATTTTCCGACATTGACGCTAAAAATAAAATGGCGCAGGAAAATCGGCAGCTAGACTAATATCGTATGAAAACAAAACTGTCCGTTCGGTTAATTAGGCACCCAGTCAAATCTGGTACCAACAGCAACAGGTTGCCCATTAGGCATAATTCCCCTATTATTACGCATATTCTCGGGTTTATCCAGTTCCCTATAGCTTTTTTCCACGTTATCTACTTACCACACAGATACGCATTTCTACTACCGTAAATTTAATCCAATAAAACAAAAAACATTAATCTACTTAATATTCAAAATGATTATTGGTAACTGAAAAAATGTGTTGCTATAGTATGAAATGCTGTAATTTACGGTATAACTTGACTCCCCTAAGGTCATTCAGTTCACTGATGAAGTGTAAAAAAAGTCTATTTCGTCATTAGAATATTTGACAAGGGTGATTAACCAATCAGGGCAACATTGTGCATGATCAAAAGGTCTGTCGGCACAGAGGCATACAAGGAGCAATAAAAACCGTTAGTACACAGTGTGACAGGAACATTTGGTGTAAATTAGGAACAATTAAAATGGATAATGCACAGTATTGGTCATAAGTAGTAAGAACCAGCAATTGTGTGAATAAATTATGCAAATGAGATTTTTGAGCAGCCAATAAAAATGTTTTGCATGCAGTTAATATTAGGCTACGATTACGATGTAAATAAATACAGTAGAACTTCTATGAGTCGAACTTCGATTAGTCGATTTTCTCGATGTGTCGAATAAAAATGAAAGTCCCGACTTTCCCCCCTATATATTCCTTATAAAAACCTATTTATGAGTCGAAATTTTATGTGTCGAATTTTTCGATGTGTCGAGGTTTTTTCGTGGTCCGTATAAAGTAAATCTAGTGCAATTTACCACAAATAAGTCGAAGTCGTTGGATTGTTTTGACACCTTTGACCTCGAGACATTTTTCACACCTTATCTGGCTGCGAAGACGATTTCCAATCAACTTGTGTGATAGGTGTTAATAACACAGCCGTGTGTTCAAACAGCCTTTGTTTGCGATAAAATGTGTGATAAAATGCTTTAATCGTAACTTTTTTAATTGCTGTAGTGGTATTTGAAAGTAAACAGTAAGAACTACTTTCATTTGAAAACATCCTTGACCCGGTGTCGCGTGAGAATAACACGCGAAATATTTACTATAAGCTGGTTTAGTTATCGCCCTTTCGTATTCATACGCCTTTTGTAACTCTTTGGGTAGTCGTGAAAAACGTAATTTGACATGCTATATTTATCATTGTAAAATTTAAAGATAAGATTAATGATGGAAAAACATGAAATATGTTTTGTTATAGAGCTTATAATTAGGACTAGTCACGGGTCGAAATTTTGTCATGGAATTGAGAGCGATTCATGAGTCGAAGTCCCGATGTGTCGAAGTTTTTACGCAAGTCCCTTCAACTTCGACTTACCGAAGTTCTACTGTACCACGAAGCATCATTGACAGACATGTAAACAATTTACTTTTCAAAAGAGTTGCTTATATTTTTGAAATGTGTACATTACTACCAACATAATTATGTTCACACCTTTTAATTTGAAAGTCAGAATCAAATTGCAAAAATTTAATTACATGTACTATTAAGAACACGTTTTAGTAGGATTTTAATAATAATGATAATTATCGCCGTTCAATAATTAACAGCCAATTATTCGTTGGTGCGTTGTTTATTTAATTGCATTATTTGATTGTGAAACTTTGTTAAATAATAACATGTGTATTTATTAACTCTGTGAAATATTGTTTAATTACATTAAGACGAGACTTTAATGAACATAGCATTGTTTGGAGTAACGGGCATCACTGGCCTGAAGTGGTGCGACCGGTAGACGTTGATTTTTTATTTGTTTCTTTAATTTTTATTTTTTATTTATTTTTTTTTATTTTTTGATATTGTTACGTATTTTGAACAATAAAAAATCGCCTCTACACCTCCTGTGAAAATTAAATTGTCTGGTCAATACTTTATTATGTAAATATTTCGCTACGATTCAACTAGATTTATCATAAATCTAAGATGTGGGGAAATGACATCACGCGCACCTGTTTTTATACGGCCAATACACAAACATGGCCGCGCCTACTGATTTGTAGAAATCGGCGATTTAGCGATTTAAATTTCGTTATCATTGGTTTAATATTATTATTTGGCGGCATAAAATTTGCAGATTTATTATTTATAGTATTCGTTTTCTGAAATCAAGTTTTTATTCTAACCTTGTTTTTCCCTTTAATTAAATGCACAGTATTGTTTATTGGACAAAAAGTGTGGCGTTAGTTGTGGCTATGAGTGTTACAGTGTTGAGTATTAAATCTCATTATCATTGCACAAATATATTTGTTGATTTGCTTTTAACCCTTTCCCCCATTAGCATATTGTGAAAAATGGCCGTTTTCACTGAAAAGCCTCCTGTTACAAGTTCAACCTGCTATGAAACTATAAAAAATGCTTCAATACTAATCAAACTTGGCACAAATGTTGACTGGACCATTGCCTTTGTAAAGACATGCTCAGTCTTAAATTTTCTGTTACCATGGCAACGAGGGGACATCTAAAAATTGCCAAAAATCACTTTTTTGCCTCGATTTTTTCCATCAAAGTTTATTTCAAAGTGCTGCAACTGCTCAAGGGATTGAGATGGAGTCAAAGGCTTTTCAGCGTTGGTTAAACGTTACATTATGATCGACCTGGCCTCATTTTAAGCCTCTCACAAGTCCAAAATTTTCTTGGCGATGAGGGGGACTCCGTCCCCCTTCAAACCCCCCTAACAGAAGGGGGCACATCCCCCTTCTGGCACCCCCCTGATGTATCTTTTGGATGGGGGCGGCGCCGAAAAAGTGCTCATTTTTTTAGCAACATTTCTCAAACGAAAACTTATGTTTGGGGCCCAAATAGGACATTTTTTCACAATTTGAGGCCTAAAAAAGGGGGGGGGGTCGAAAGTGCGTTGTTTCGCGTATACATGTGGTAAAGGGTTAAGTAACTGTATGCATAACCTTTTCAACATTCCCGCATGCACAGGGAGATATTGTACTTGCCAGGATTGCTTTGTTTGTTGTTTGGACATGATACATTTGAAACATTTTTTAACATTAGATTAGATTGCCTCAGGCCTGTTTGTCTCTAAAATACATTTTCCGTTTCAGGCCGGGACTGTTGCGACAGAAATAAATAGAAGAAAAGGGTATTCCTTTTAGTTTACAAAGGGGAAATCATTAAAGCTAGTGAAGGGATCAACAGAGAAAAGGAACTTTCAACAGGATTAGGGTTCTTCTTGAAATCCAACGTGAAAATCTTATGGTAAATACTTGATATTGCACATAACATGTATAACTTACTATGGCTGTCAATGATGGAAAATTTTGTATCAATATATCGATAGACAAATATTGACGATATATTGATATATTTACATTGACAGTAATGCAATTAAAAAAATTTAAATGTATATTAAAATTTGGGATCATGGTGTTATGCATGCTTCTATTAATTTAGAAATTACAAATACTTGCATAACATTTTAATCCTATTTTAGCATTCGGCACGATATGGCCAGTTATGCGTTGACACGCCGTAAAAATCCAAACAGACAAATCAAACTAACAGAAATTTTTTTTTCTGTTATTTTTGTCACTGATGGAGTCATTGATTTTCCTTATATGTAAATATTAATTAAAAACTTTAAAAAACCTTCTTCTTAAAGAACCCAAAGAGTTAGAGATTAGATATAAAGCATGAACCATTTGTAATGGGTGACTACCAAGTTTGTTGAAATGGAAGCCCTGGGGTCAAATTAAGCCGCCCCTTTTGACCATTGATTTTCCTTATATGTACATGTATATATATAGTTAAACTAAAACTAATCTTCTTTTAAAAAACCCAAAGAGCTAGAGTGTCTACATAAAAGCCCTAGGATCAAATCGGTCCGCCCCAGGTGGCTATTGATTTTCCTTATATGTATATAGTAAAAATTTTAAAAAACCAATGAGCTAGAGCTTCGATATTAAGCATGAAACATCTTCTAACTTTGTTCAAATAAAAGCACTGAGGTCAAAATTGACCTGGCCCAGTGGTCATTGATTTTCCTTACATGCATACAATCTTTTAACCCAAATTAACAAGTATTCTGACTCAGGTGAGTCTAAAGATCTTGATCAGAGTTTCAGATTCCCAATTTTCTTCCTAATATATAATTTATTTGTTTATTTTGATTTCTTTATTTCGATTTTTTTATTTCAATCTTAAATTTTAGTCCCAAATGTTATTTTAATATCAAACTATAATTCTTAGTTAATATCTTGACTTAAATTATTTCATTTGCCATCCACAGAGGTGTGAAAAAAAACAACAAACAATGAAGACAATAATTACTTAACTAATTTTATTCACTGATAAAATATAGGGATGTATTAACACAAATTTTTATCTTTGATCAACAGTTGATTTGAAATTAGCAAATTTACCGACAAAACGATTAACTATTTATGCAGCAATTTTAATGTTTTTCTCAAATTACAAATGAGTGTAATTATGAATTATTGTTGAATATTTTTGACATTTTCTAGGCAAAATTTTGCTATAGTTTTCATTTTTGCAAAAACGTTCTATAAGAATTAAAGATATTATGCCGAAAAGCCAGGACAACAAACCAAAATACACACATACACTTTTCTTTGATATTTAGATTCTATCCAAAAATTGATTCCGAACATCTGCGATTTCACATTTGCCAGAAATTTTGCAATTTTTTTAAGGGCACAAAATTCTCAGTTTCCAAGCCAAACGTAAATGAATTGTTCCTTATTTTTATTTAATCAACGTTAAATCTTTAAATATTTTCAATTTGCCCCATTTTGAAGACATTTGCTAAAATAATTGTCTGAATCGGATGAATCTCTTACACACTGTGTGAAGCTATAAAAGATTTTCCTATTCATTCTGCTAATTGCTGTCTATATACATTTATGTTTTTTGTTTTTTTTTACAAAATTTTAATATAAACTTTTTGTCTTTAGAGTGGACTTATTTAACTAGAATAAAATTTGATTTGGAATAAAATATGATTGGTATAAAAGTGAAAAACAACAACAACAAAAAATGATTTCCAGTGTTGATGCATTATTAGTCCCCTACCGGTTTAACCGGAGGGGACTTTAGGTTTACCCTCCGTCTGTCTGTCTGTCCGTCCGTCCGTCCACAAAACTGGATCCCGCTATAACGCAAAAAGTACTGAAAATATTTTTATGAAACTAGATATATGGATAGATCTGATGGCAGTATGGAGATTATGCAGGTCTTTCTTTTTTTCTTCCTATGTTAAAAATTCTGGTTGCTATGGCAACAAATAGTCTGAAAATATGGCAAATTTAACACATAAACTTGATCTAGTGATAACTCAAAAAATACTGAAAATATTTTTATGAAACTTGAAATATGGGTAGATGGCAGTCCGGAGATTATGCACATCTTTTTCTTTTCTTCCTATGTTGAAAATTCTGGTTGCTATGGCAACAGATAGCCTGAATTTCAAGATTTCTGATTTAAATTTTTCAGCTTTTTCACTATAAGTTCTTTATTTCTTAAGGTGTTTACTTCAAACTTTATATATAAGTTTCTGGTCATCAACCACATCATATGTGACAAGGTTTACAACTCTAGCACAAAAATTATCAGTATTACCTCCCTTGAACTTAGAATTTTTATGAAAAATAATGTTGTCTTTTTTAAATAACTTCTTGATTTCCTAATGTATCTACTTCAAACTTCATATATATGTTTCTTATTATCACTCAACATTTTTGAGAAGGCAGAGTTCCAGATAATTTTTTTACACTGGGGGTAATTACCCCCACTTTTCAGAATGTGGGGGTAAATTTAGATATATCGTAAATCAAAAGGGTACAATTAAATTACTTACTTTTTTGTACAAAAATAATATGATCCTTTGAAAATAGAATATATTTTAATGAAAATACATTAAAGATATTTATTTTGTATTAATTTAGCAGATATTCAGCGTGAATTCACTTCAATTGAAAGGCCTTTACCATATTCTTATTTTATTTTATATTGTTTACAACAAAAATCGGTGACAATACATAAACAGTAACGTTACAAATAATCACCAGTCAATTGCCGATTTCTGCATGTTTATTGCACCTTCATTAGCCCATACATTGCCAGCTTTAAATTTATGACAAGTCAGATATTTCATTCGTACTTCAGTACCAGTTTATGAAATTTGAAGCCACGGATAACATTTTTGCCAATTTTCAAGTGTTGTGTTGCGATTCACAGTTATGTGCGCCCTTTTCGTTTTAAATACACGATCTAAAATGTCTTCAACAATAGGATTCACAATTGTTTTAGCGGGTAACTGAGTTGCGTTAAAAAAATTGTCAATTTTCCTCTGCTTTGGTTTGGAAGCAGCCATGATGTACGTCTTTATTACCAAACGCTTGCAATTATAAAGGAAATCAAGCCACACGTTTTACCAAGCGCCTACGCGATAAAGACATAATTTGACTGGTTTACAGAATGAAAATTAGTTGGAAGTATTTTGGCGGGTATTAAACGGAAAAAGATACACAGTCAACTGTTAAACGGAAATGGAATCAGCTGTTTCGAAAATGAAAGTACACACCAAATACGCTTCGATTTTTCGTTCTATGCGTATTTGATTTATAGCGTGCGTAAATGAACGCAACAAATTTGAAATATGGTGCGTATTTAGTTGCTTTTGAAGCGTAAAATACGCCGATACGCACGTTATCTGGAACTCTGGAAGGTTAAATACTCTAGCAAGACTATTTCCAGAATTATGTCCCCCTTGAACTTAGATTTTTTTTGAGAAATTGGTATTTTTCACTCCAACTTCTTCATTCCTTATAGGATTTACTTTAAAATCCCACATGGTAATAATATGACATGGTTGTATTAACATAATTTCCTTACAAGGGCAGGGAAACTTAACACATTACTGTGATGTAGACAAACTTAGAACTCAAAAGATTTAAGTTCATTCATGTCATTCATTCACTGGTAAAATTGAATGGCCAGTGGCCCATCAGAATGTTGCTGGGGTTCTAACCGGTAGGAGACTTATGGATTGCTTGCAATACTATGATAATTGCTTGTAATTTTATTGTTTCATAATACATTGTAAATATTAACGACAAAACAATAATTATACTATGTGGTTCAGACTTTGTTTTGAATAACTATAAACTTTGAAAGTCTCTTGAAGATTCAAAATATGTGAGCATTAAATGACTAATCTGTTAACATATTAATTGCAATGCGCTTTTGGACTCCAACTTTTTCAGGCTTGGAGTCCATGGACTCCATGTTTTAAAGTCCTAGTGAGAACCCTGGTATTTATTTTTTTTTCCGATTCTAATCTTGCCCTTTGAGAAAAACTGATCCAGACTCTTGCTTGGCTCCAAGTTTGCTTCATTTTCCTTGTTCTCCAATTAGTTGTCATGGTCTCAGGTGAGCAATCATGGACCCTCACGGTCCTCTTGTGCTTTTTTGGGGGAGGGGAGCGTTTTTGATAAGAAAATATTCTTGGTTCATCTTGATTGAGGAAAATTGCTAATGTCCAAAATGACTGCTCAAGAATCATAATTAACTTGCAATGTAATGTTTTCCTAACAGAGTGTGGTAGTTTTGTAGAACACACCAACATACCGTGGTAAACACACACACACACAGTGAGGTAATTTTCCCATTTCCTGGTTACATATACCTCACCTAAAGCCTAGAAGCCCTATCAGGGTCACTCTGCGAAAATCCTGTATAGTTGTTAAAATATGTTTCCTCTAACAACTTACATATAGGACTACCAATTGTTTTGGTTTTTAGCTCACCTGTCACTTTGTGACAGGGTGAGCTTTTGTGATCGCTTTTCGTACTGCGTCCGCCCATCCGTCCGTCGTCCGTAAACTTTTACTTTAAATAACATCTCCTCATAAACCGCTGAACCAATTTCATCCAAATTCACAGGAATGTTCCTTTGGTGGCAGACCTGGGGATGATTACATTGATCAGTAATTGATTAAATTACAATTACTTTCAGATTTTATAGTAATTGATTAAGATTGATTACTCACACTTGCCTCTGTAATCAATTGAATTACAATTACTTTAAGAGAGTAATTGATTGATAATTGATTACATTGAATGTACATTAGACCACCCCAGAATTAAAAACCACCCCCGCATTTAGGACCATTTTCAAAAAGGTTTGTTATGCCAATGGTTTCATGATCCAGATTTAACCACCTGCTTATTCACTTCTAAGACCACCATATTCAGTCCAAATTTTTGTTTCAATTTTAATGTGACTAATGAAACACTTAAATTAAGTCAACATCTTTCAAGATCTTAAATTTGTTGCTATGATCTGCTTGAGGGCTGTGATTTCAAAAGGTGTGAAAAACTGTTATTGCATGAAATTAGGTGAGAAGGTCCATTTTAGAGTGGTACATTGTTGCATTCGGCACATTTATTTTTTTGAAAAATTTTTATTTGATTTATGTACATCATATAATAAGTGATACTGTAAAATTAAAGTTAAATTTCTTCAGAAATATGTTTTCTTTTTATCAGATTAAATATCAAAGCATTTTTTGATAGTGTCTTTTATAATGTATTTGTAGTTACATGTTATATACATATTGTTTATTCATACAAAATGACTAAAGTAGACCATGGTCTTAAAGTATGTAAGATTAGACTATTCACTTTGTTTCAGTCTGAATAGTGGTCTTAATTGAGGATTTTGACAGTATAAATGTAAAACAAAAATTAAACTGTATCATGTAAAATAAAGGCATCCTTTGAATTTAAATAGTTTTCTGTTAAATCTGAAAGTAATCAATGTCAATCAAAATGTAATCATAATTACTGTCTTGATTTAGGCTGTAATTGATTGATTACAATTAATATAATCAATTTTGGGCAAGGTAATCAATTACATGATGATTACAGTGTAATCATGTAATCAATTACAAAATCAATGATTACAATTAATGATTACCCCAGGTCTGTTTGGTGGTCACCTTTGAAAATTGTTCAAAGAATTTAATTCCATGCAGAACTCTGGTTGCCATGGCAACCAAAAGAAAAAGCTTTAAATATCATCTTCTAAAAAACCGAAAGAGCTACAGCTAAGATATTTGGCATGAAACATCTTCTAGTGAGTGTCTACCAAGTTTGTTCAAATAAAAGCCCTTGGGTCAAAATTGGCCCCGCCCCAGGGGGTCATTGATTTTTCCTATATGCATATAGTAAAAACTTAAAAATCTTCTTTTAAAGAACCCAAAGAGCTAAAGCTAAATTATTTAGCATTAAACATGTTCTAATGGATGTCTACCAAGTTTGTTCAAATAAGAGCCCTTATTGGGTCAAAATTAGCCCCGTCCCAGGGGGTCATTGATTTTCCCTATATGTATATAGTAAAAACATTAAAAATCTTCTTTTAAAGAACCCATAGAGCTAGAGCTAAGATATTTAGCATGAAACATGTTCTAATGGGTGTCTACCAAGTTTGTTCAAATAAAAGCCCTTGGGTCAAAATTGGTCCCGACCCAGGGGGTCATTGATTTTTCCTATATTCATATAGTAAAAACTTAAAAATCTTCTTTTAAAGAACCCAAAGAGCTAAAGCTAAGTTATTTAGCATGAAACATGTTCTAATGGATGTCTACCAAGTTTGTTCAAATAAGAGCCCTGGGGTCAAAATTAGCCCCGCCCGTGGCGCTCAGTGATTTTCCCTATATGAATATTGTAAAAATTGGTCCTGACCCAGGGTGTCATTGATTTTTCCTATATTCATATAATAAAAACTTAAAAATTTTCTTTTAAAGAACCCAAAGAGCTAGAGCTAAGATATTTAGCATGGAACATTTTCTAATGGATGTCTACCAAGTTTGTTCAACTTAGAGCCCTGGGGTCAAAATTGGCCCTTCCCGACGGACGTTGATTTTTCTTATATGTGTATAGCAAAATATAAAAATCTTCTTGGAAATAACACGAATAGCTAGAGTTTAGATATTAACTCTTTCGCTGCCAATGTCGCCGATAAGCGACTTTCGTATAGACTGCCAATGTCGCCTATCGGCGACCAGATGTCACATGTTTTGCCACGTGTGTTTACTTTCATTTTGCGACACTCATTTTAACGACATCTAGACTACTTTACGGCAAATAGACTGTTTTACGTTATTAAACGCGGAAGTGAAGAAAAATCAATGTAAAAAAGTCATTTTTATCGATTTTGAAGCAGTTTTTTCGAGTGAAACTTGTTTTGTAATTGGTAGCAACAAAATGGCGACTCGCTATTCAACTACAGACGTTCTTTTAATGATTGCAAATGTGTAATAGAAGGCTAATATATTTATATTAGTATCTTTTTTATGTTAAAGGAAGATAACTGTAAATATAGACAACTTTTGAAGAGTTTTGAAGAGTTTGGTATACCGAGAAATGACAATAAATGAAATTATTCCTAATTTTTGTCGTTTAAGGTCAGGCAAGGTCAAGGTTAAGGTCACATTCTCAAAATTTACATATTTGGAATGTAACATCATAAAGAGTAACATAAATACAATATTTCCTGAAAGTTTCATCAAAATCTAACAACAAATAACTATTTTAGGGCTAGTTTTGTATATACACTATATACACTATATTTCCTGGAATTGTCTGTTATTTATTTGGCACTGGGACAATCGTTTTCTCAGAAAATTGGCAGCGAAAGAGTTAAGCATGAAACATCTTCTAGTAAGTGTCTACAAAGATTGTTCAAATAAAAGCCCTGGGGTCAAAACTGGCCCAGCCCCAGGAGTGTCATTGTTTTTAAATACTAGTATATGTGTAAAGAAAAAACTTAAAAAATCTTTTTTTTTAAAAACCCAAACAAGCTAGACCTTAGATGGTTAGCATGAAACATCTTCTAATGGGTGTCTACCAAGTTTATTCAAATAAAAGCCCTGGGGTTTAAACTTGCCCCACTCCGGGGGGCCTATATACAGGTGAGCGACTTCTGGGCCATCATGGCCCTCTTGTTTGTTTTGTTTTTACTTTCCTTAATTAACCTGTCATTTTTATCAAGTTTGTAGCAATAGTAGTAAATAGTTTCAAACTAACAACACTGACTCAAACAATACCTTTGCATTAAAAAAAACAACTTAAATCAAAACGGCATGTTCAAAATTTTTATAGAATACTTTCTGTTTTCAGGTATTCTTAATCCATGGGGGGAAAAATGACGTTGACAATTGCATCAATTAAAAGATAATGAGGCTTTTCAAGTTGGAACACATATCTTAAAATCGACATATAAGGTCGAGGGACAGAAAGGTTTGTGTTTATTCTGTAATTTATGTGATGTTGATGAACTTCCCTACTTGGAATATTTTTAATGGTAATGCTAGATAGTCTCAGAGTTAATGTTCTTTTTAGCTTGAATATTCGATAAGAATAAGTAGAGCTATTGTAGTCACCGAGCGTCGGCGTCGGCGTAACCACTTATGTTAAAATTTTTGTAATAGTTCAAATATTTTCAAAGTCCATTGACATATGGCTTTGAAACTTTGCACACTTGTTCACCATCATGACCCCAACCTGTAGACAGGAGGAGGTAACTTTATCAAGCATTTTGACAGAATAATGCCCCCTTTTCGACTTAGAATTTATGTTTAAGTTTTTGTGATAGTTCAAATATTTTCAAAGTCCATTGACATATGGCTTTGAAACTTTGCGCACTTGTTCACCATCATGACCCCAACCTGTAAACAGGAGGAGGTTACTGTATCAAGCATTTTTTTTTACTATCAAGCATTAAGAATAGTCGAGCGTTGCTGTCCTTCTGACAGCTCTTGTTTATAATATTATCACAAAAGAAATCTCGATGTCTGTGAATTCTGAGTTTGGTGTGGGTCAACGACATGCTTTCCAATCTATTCAGTGTTTATTAAACAATTTACAGAATGATATAAATATGTTAAATTAAATTTACAGTAATAAAAGAAATATGTATTATGACTCGGACAATGAAAAAAACAACAATAACAAAAAAAACTTTGATTTTTGGTTTACATCAGTGTTTAATCTTAGCATGTCTACAATGCAATATATAATAGTCTACAATGCAATATGAAGAGTTTAGTATATTAAAAGCACTGAATGTACAGGCATTAAAAAACCATAAATATCATTACAAGTTTAAAGGTAAATTGGAAAATAATGGAAAGAATTGGAGGGTATGTATATTATATAACAAGTAATTGATACCTCAGTAAGTGTGTGTTTGACATAGTATGATCACTCTGCAAACTGTGTGTAGTGAACCTCACACCGTTTGTACTAAAACTCAAACTTAAAATTATTATACCTCAGTGTGTACGTTTCTGTCTCGCTGCCTGTAATCCCAACTGTATGTACTAGAAAATAGTGCTTTATTATTCAATCAGTTAACTAATTGTATTGCACAATAGTGGCAGTGATAAACTGCTTTATTGACATTTGTTACTTTAATGAGGAATTTGCCTTTAATCTGAAAACATAAAGGTAAAGGGTTACTTTTGAAGGCTACTTGCATATACAAATAAAAAAAAGTCTAATTAGTTATTAAACTACCACAAGAAAAATGTGAGGGAGAGCCTGTTAGCAGTCACCATGTTGGTCGGTCTATATATCTTGAAATTTGTCTGGCCTAATTTTGTTATTCATGGATGCATTTTGAGACTGTTATTCATGGATGCATTTTGAGACATTAAATAATTATGTTATGACCAAAAATTTGATATTCATGGAAGGGTTTTAGATTTAAAGTGTCATCTTTTTGTTTCTGCTCAGTATCTTTAGTATCCTTTAATCTATGTACTCCAAGCTCAGTGTGTGGATCACTTATATCAAGAAACAGTGAAGGATTGCTGCCCAGGGTTTTGTTTCAATTGTCACTGATATTAATTGTTTATTTTTTAGCTCGACTCCCTCCTTGGACTGTAAACTACAACTTATTGGATTGGTGCCTATGTTTTGTGTAACTATGGACTTAAACACATAATGTTTCAATTCAAAGCATCCATCTTTGACCAAGCTCAGTGGTCACCCCAATGGAACTATCTGTCAAAGAGAAGAAGCAAGGTAAAAATATGTTTCTGCACTTGTAGTTTTATGTTTTTTGTGTTTAAAAAGAAGCATGAATAACAGCACAAATGATGTGCTATTTAAGAAATAATATATCCCAAACTGTGATTTTATTGCTCAATAACATCACTGTTTGGAGTTCGGATGCGGGGAATTATATCACGAGGGCGTAGCCCGAGTGATATAATGATGCGCATCCGAACGACAAACAGTGATGTTATCAAGCAATAAAATCATCGATTTGGATATATTATTTCGATTCTAACACAACATCAACAAATAAATGCTGCCGTACATGATAATTAGCTAAATTGCGTCTGATTTGTTTCCGTACTTATTGTCAGTGCGTCACATTTTTAGTGGTTATGTCACGTGTATAATGATTACGTCACAATATAGAATGTCAAACAGTGATTTTATAGCGTAATAACACACACTTTCGGTTCTTCTATGTTCAATAGGGAAAAATTTGGGTCGTGTTAGAATAAAATCCGAACTGATCCTACAATGTATTATTGACATGTGACTTGATTTTTCTAGGCTGTTTGCAAATTTCTCTGTTACAATTGATCTCAGACATTGTGTCTGATGGCCATTCGTCTCACACAAGTGATCTTAAGCAGATCATGTGGGAAAAGTAGTCAGTCACTTGGAGAGAAATTGGTAATTAATGGTTAGATTTCCACGAAAGCCAGTTAGGTGGACTGACCCACTGAGATATGAGCAAAAGATGTTAAATTGGTATTTAAAGGGACTCCATCCACTGATGTTTAAAAGCCTAAAAACATAACATTTGAATTTCTTACTTAAATGAGCTGGGGCACTTCAAAGAGAAATATATACAAAGATAGTTGAGAAATATACTTTGAAATAAATTGAAAATCGTATTTTTATGCTTTCCTTAGTCCGATTTGAGTGACAAGCATTTAAACACTTTTCATTTTTGGGTCATTTTTTACCATTTGAATAATTATTTTGGAAAAAACGAAGTGCTCAAATGATATGAAATTTTGCACAAAGATTAGTGGTCTAAACCTACATCAAATGGTACAATTATCTGGAAAAAATATTTTCAGTCCCATCATGTCAAAAAACCTCAGTGGAGTCCCTTTAAAACCCTTAATGAAACAAACAAACAAACTTGATACATGTATTTTAATTTTCAAAAAAAAACATGATGAGTAAGCCTTTCATGTCATGTAATAGTATTATCTATTTGAGAGGCTTGAATAGTTTGTACATGAAAATTTTATTATGCTCAAGATAGTTTTGATTTTTAGCTTGACTATACGATGTATATGGAGAACTGTTTTACTGGCCCAGGCGTCAACGTCCATGTCCGCGTCCAGATTTCAGATAAAAGTTTTGGTGCAGTATTTTTCTCTAGACTATTGCTTTTTCATTTCTTAAGGTATCAACTTCAAACTTCAAATATATGTTAATTATCATCAACCATATCAAATGTGACAAGGTTCATAACTTTCATAATATTTTTAGATTTATCTCCATTCAACTTAGAAGTTTTCTTAAAAATATTAATTTTTACTGTCACTTCTTTATTTCTAAAGGGATCAACTTCATACTTCAAATATATGTTTCTTATAATCAACCACATCTGATGTGAAAAGGTTTATAACTTCAGCATCAATGTTTTCAGATTTATCTCCCCTTGAACTTAGAATTTGTCTAAAAAATATTATTTTTAACTGTCACTTCTTTACTTCTTAAGGGATCAACTTCAAACTTTAAATGTATGTTTCTTATCATCAACCATATCTTATGTGACAAAGTTCACAACTCCAGGGCTCCAGATAAGATGCGTATACGCGTAAATTACGCATGGAAATAACACGTTTACGCATTCAAAACAAAATTTAAGAGTATGAAAACGCACACAAAATTCAGGTTACGCATTGAGCAACATTTCTTTCGCGTAAACGTAACCGAAAGTAAACTCGGTGATTATTTCGTCTGAACGCTTTGCAAGCGTCTACCGGTTACTTCCTGTAGTTCCGACCATCATCGGTTGTTATCGTATGTATAGTATGGTGGTGAAATTAACTTCGTAACTATGAATGCTTTGCAACATCTAACGGTAACTTCCTGTAGTTCCGACTATCATCGGTTATTATCGTATGTATAGTAAGGTGGTGGAATTAACACAATTTCATAAACATCCGGTACAATGTCGCTGTCAAATTGACTCGTATTTTAAGCCGAAAAAAAAATCGACCGGAAAGTAATTGTGAAGGTTATAATTAATGAAATACAGTCTAACTTGCCCATGCGACCACGTGTATTAAGCGACTTTTGTCTTAAACGACCACTTTTTATTCCCCCCGATCATTTTCTCTCTATATCTTTAATGTATTAAGCGACTTTTGCTCAACGCGACCAGCGACCGCTAATTAGTCACCTAATTGACATCAATCTTTTCATTAAACGACCACTTTTACCTTTCAAGTAATTGTGTTTTTAGAGAACGCCACCTCGTTATGTCACAAGTGTCAGCAATCAAAACACAACAATAAACGTGTGAAAAACTCTATTTCCCATACCGTTTTAGCGTACGCAAATGATGTTAAGTATACGCGTGACGTGTATTATCCAATAATATCGGATAAACAATGCAACGCTCCGCCCATACTGAGATGGTGTATACGCTTCGCTTGTTGACATTTAGACTGCATTGAATTGACCTTGAACTTGATCAGCCATTAAATTAATCGTAACAAATAGATGTAGTTTGTTTATTTCAAATGAAAAAATGCACAACAGAAAACATCTTCACTAATAGGGTTTTCGTGTTGGAGACAAGGAAAAACAACGGAGAAGTTAAAAAATTCTGGAAAAAAATGTCAAACATGTACGCAATGGATCAAAACTGTTTTGTCAATAAATATCAGAAAGTTATTTTTACATTTGCATCCATTTAGATTATCGGAGCGTACTTATTATTCAACATTTATCTAAGAATTAAGTTGAAAAACAATTCCACCGAATAAAAAAGATGTCATTTATAAATTTTGACTTTTATATCATGCTGACTGTCTTAAGAGACCGTTTCATTAAGCGACCGTTTTTGGTGATTCCCTTGCCCGGTCGCTTAATACACGTTTGACTGTAGTTAGCGCTGCCACGTATGAGCAACAAAAACATTCCTCAGGTTCAGATAAAACGTATGCTGTTTGGAAATGCAAGATTATAAGAAATAACTTTGACATATCTTTTATTACAAGTATAAAAATACAATAAACATGGAAGCATATTAAATGTTTTACTCCTTTACAAACATTTTAAGGAGTAAAAATACTCCTGCCAAATTTCAGATTTCAAGTTTTACTCATTCACAAAAAAATCAATGAGTAAATACTCAATGCCCTAAAAAATTATCTGGAGCCCTGCAACTCTAGCACCAATATTTTCAGATTTATCTCACCTTGAACTTAGAATTTAGAATTTTTCTTGAAAAATATTATTGTTTAATGTCACTTCTGTATTAGTCCCCTACCATTTTAACCGGAGGGGACTTTAGGTTAACCCTCCTTCGTTTGTCTGTCTGTAAGTCCGTCCGTCCACAAAACTGGATCCCGCGATAACGCAAAAAGTACTGAAAACATTTTTATGAAACTTAGAACTTAGAATTTGATATATGGATAAATGGCAGTATGGAGATTATGCACGTCTTTTTCTTTTCTTCCTATGTTGAAAATCCTGGTTGCTATGGCAACAAATAGACTGAAAATATGGCAAATTTTACACATAAACTGGATATCCAGTGATAACTCAAAAAGTACTGAAAATAAATTTATGAAACTTGAAATATAGGTAGATGCCAGTCTGGAAATTATGCACATCTTTCTCTTTTCTTCCTATGTTGAAAATTCTGGTTGATATGGCAACAAATTAACTGAATTTCAAGATTTCTGATTTGAATTTTTATACTTTTTCTCAACAAGTTGTTTATTTCTTTAGGTGTTACTTCAAACTTTAAATATAAGTTTCTGGTCATCAACCACATCATATGTGACAGTTTTACAACTCTAGCACAAAATATCAGAATTACTTCCCTTGAACTTAGAATTTTTATGAAAGAAAATGTTGTCTTTTTTAAATAACTTCGTTATTTCTTAATGTATCTACTTCAAACTTCATATTGAGTTTAGCTAAAACTTGTGTAAGTTTGTCATTAATAGATGGATTGGATTGATAGATTAGATTGGTACTTGGACAAAACAACGGATATGACAAAACTCAGACTTTGTTATTTATAGACAGATTTGGTTCATACTTTGACATAAACTGCATGTGGCACTCACCCATAATATTGAGGAATTCATATTTACCTTTGACATTTGAAGGACCATCACAAAAAAGCCTCATTAGTAATAACAAAATGTTTGAGCATGGTCCCAGCTTGCTGTGGCTCTTGTTGAGGTCAAAATAAAAACGTTATTATTCAGTTGAGCGATACAGAGCCATCATGGCGCTCTTGTTTATAGCTTAAAATCATTGTTGTTATTATTAGTAAGTTTGAACTCTTTTTATATTTTAGCCACACAAATCCAGCGACTCTGATGTACAGGACCAGCTTCTACATGATATTTTTAAAGCAAATATTTCCTTGCGGTGTGAACTGAAATGATGAACTGTATCAATGCAATTCACAGATAAAAGTGTCTCAGTGAATTATCATGGAAGAAAATAAAAACACTGTACTTAACTGGATTATGACTGAAAGTATAAATCAAAACTCTTCAAAAATGTGGCCAAGGTCAAAAAATTATGGATTACAAGGTTAATTTTATTTGAAAATGATACGTAGTTCAGATATTTAGTTGGACATACCATGTTATGTTTTCAATTAAGACTTGACAGTAAGGTTCTTGTTTACCCTTCATGTTTATATATCAGTGAAAAGTGTTGTATATACAGATGCTTAACCAGGGACATATTTTCCTTTTTAGCTCACCTGACCACGAAGTGGTCAAGGTGAGGTATAGTGATGGGGCTATGTCCGGCGTCCGTCGTCGTGCGTCGTCAACATTTGGGTTGTTATCAGTCTAGCAGTCACAGTTTTGATTGGATCATCATCAAACTTTGTCAGAATGTTTGTCTCAATGAAATACAGATCGAGTTTGAAGATGGGTTATCTCGGGTCAAAAACTAGGTCACAGGAGCTAAAAATAGAAAAACCTTGTTAACACTCTAGAGGCTGCAGTTTTCATCCAAATATTCTGGAAATTTGTCAGGTCAAGGTTGTTTTAATGATATCTAGGTAAAGTTCGAAGATAGGTCATCTCCGGTCAAAAACTAGGTCACAGGAGCTAAAAATAGAAAAAGCTTGTTAACACTTTAATAATTGAGTTGTTAACAGTCTAGCAGTCACAGTTTTGATTGCATCATCATCAAACTTTGTCAGAATGTTTGTCTCAATGAAATACAGATCGAGTTTGAAGATGGGTTATCCCGGTTTAAAAACTAGGTCACAGGAGCTAAAAATAGAAAAAGCTTGTTAACACTTTAGAGGCTGCAGTTTTCATCCAAATATTCTGGAAATTTGTCAGGAAGGTTGTTTTAATGATATCTAGGTCAAATTCGAAGATGGGTCATCTTCAGTCAAAAACTAGGTCACATGAGCTAAAAATAGAAAAAGCTTGTTAACACACTCTAGGCTGCAGTTTTCATCCAAATATTCTGGAAATTTGTCAGGAAGGTTGTTTTGTTGATATCTAAGTCAAGTTGGAAGATGGGTCATCTCCGGTCAAAAACTATGTCACAGGAGCTAAAAATAGAAAAGCTTGTTAACACATAAGGGGCTGCAGTTTTCATCCAAATATTCTGGAAATTTGTCAGGAAGGTTGTTTTGATGATTTCTAGGTCAAGTTCGAAGATGGGTTATCTCCGGTCAAAAACTAGGTCACAGGAGCTAAAAATAGAAAAAGCTTGTCAACACTTTAGTGGCTGCAGTATTGATTCAAATATTCTGGAAATTTGTCAGGAAGGTTGTTTTGATGATTTCTAGGTCAAGTTCGAAGATAGGTCATCTCAAGTCAAAAACTAGGTCACAGGAGCTAAAAATAGATTAAGCTTGTTTACACTCTAGTGGCTGCAGTTTAAATTCAAATATTCTGGAAATTTGTCAAGAATGTTGTTTTGATGTTTTCTGGGTCAAGTGCTAAGATTGGTCATGTCCGGTAAAAAACTAGGTCACAGGAGCTAAAAATAGAAAAATCTTTTTAACACTCTAGTGGCTGCAGTTTTTTATCCAAATTTCCTGGAAATTTGTCAGGAAGGTTGTTTTGATGATTTCTAGGTCAAGTTTGAATATGGGTTGTGTCCGGTCAAAAATTAGGTCACATTGCCCAAATATGGAAAAATCTTTATAACACACTAGACGTCACATGTTTGACTCAATTGCATCAAACTTGATCATGATGCTTGTTTAAGACATTGCTTGGATGCGGTTGTGTCAGGTGAGCGATCCAGGGCCATCATGGCCCTCTTGTTTGATATTGTAATGATCTAATTTGTGATTGAATGATAGATTAAGTTACAAAATGCATAGCGAATGTTTGATATTTAAGCTTTCTGGAGTAGTTTACAGATTTACATATAATATTTCTGTTAAAATGTAGATTTATTAGAACATGTAGAATGTGGAAGACATCTGTGTGTTGTTCTTCATCCCTTCCTTGATTACTTGATTACCATATATGCATGTTATGCAGGAATGTTCACTTTTTGGTCAGAAATAACATGATAATTTCAAAGGCAATGAAGATCCAAATCAGACTGGATCTACACTGTTTGCAAACCAATAAGGTGTATGCTAGGAGGAAAGGAATAGTCTCTATTTACTGTGTTCAGTATTTTGTGTGAATTAAGGCCTCGTTCGAATACGACCTTGGCAAGTTAGCAACAGTCACCTTCTCTTGCACATATAGCCCTGAAACTTGCTATACTTGTTTTATTACTATTAAAATCATGGTCAAACCACAATAGGATGTAACTGTGTCCAGCAATTTTAGTGAATTATGACCCCATTTTGACTTAGAAAATTGGTTAGGTAGAACTGGTCACCTTTCCTTTGTAGATATAGCCCTGAAATTTACAACTTGTTTACCATTAAGATCATGGTCTATCAATCCTCTCCATATGTATCCATATACACATACACTTGTTTTTCCTGTGTGCAACAAGTGTAGAACCAGATCAACTGGCACAGCTTTTTTGTCAGAAATAACTTGATAAATTATATTTTACGGAAAAGTGCAGATGACACATGTCCCTGCTGATCTGGATCTACACTCTTAACACATGATATAAAGGGATGGAGGAATTGGAAATTGAAGTTTTAATCCCATTCTGTAATCTGTTGATCTGTAACAGTTTTGTGTCCATTCAAATTGAGCCGTGTCATGACAAAACCAACATAGTGGCTTTGTGACCAGCATGGATCCAGACCAGCCTGGGCATCCGTGCAGTCTGATCAGGATCCATGCTGTTAGCTATCGGTTTCTCTACTTGTTATAGAGTTTGTAAGCGAACAGCATGGATCCTGATCAGACTGCGCGGATGCGCAGGCTAGTCTGGATTCGTGCTGGTAACAAACCCATTATGATGGTTTTGTCATGACGCGGCTCCTATAACTTTTAAACCATGAACATTTTTTATAAATAACTTGGCACAAGTGATCACCATAATTAGACTATGTGCAATAATGAGTGTAATAATTATGTTGGTATCCCAAAGTTGGAGGTCACACTTACAGGTCAAAGTTAAAAAAAATGTTTGTGTCCCTCCATAACTTTTAAACCGCTAAACATTTTTTGAAATAATCAGGCATAAGTAATCACTATTTTTATTAAGCTGTCCTTCAGTCTACCTTGTAGAAGTGAGAAGATTAGCTTCAATACAGTTTGTATAATGTACAAAATTACATGTGAATAGTACCATCTATAACCTTGTGAGAACAGGATTCTTTTGTTTGCAGCTTTAATTCTAACTACTTGATAGGTATGAACATAAATTTGCTCGTGTCAAAACATGTTTTGTTCTAATAAAATAGATTATAAGAAAAGTGTGTTGTTGTTTTTATATGCCTGAAAGAATGTTATACCCCTGGCATACGTCCGCCGTCTGTCCGTTAACAATTTGGTTTTCGGAACATAACTTAAGTTCCATTTGGCCCACAATATTCAAACTTCATAGGATGATTGTCCATATTGGGTAGAAGACCCCTATTGATTTTGGGGTCACAGGGTCAAGGTCACTATATCCTTAAAACTGAAAACAGTTTCTGAAGCATAACTTGAGATCAATTTGGCCCAAAGTGTTCAAACTTCATAGGATGATTGTCCATATTGGATAGAAGACCCCTATTGATTTTGGGGTCAAAGGTCAAGGTCACTTTCTGTTTCACCTTACAACTGAAAGCAGTTTCTGGAGCTTAAGTTAAGTTCCATTTGGCCCACAGTGTTCAAACTTCATAGTATGATTGTCAATACAGGGTAGAAGACCCCTATTGATTTTGGGGTCACAAGGTCACTATCACCTTAAAACTAAAAACAGATTCTGGAGCATAACTTAAATTCCATTTGGCCCACAATATTCAAACTTTATAGGATGATTGTTCATATTGGGTAGAAGACCCCTATTGATTTTGGGGTCACAAGGTCAAAGGTCAAGGTCATTATTACTTTTAAAACTGAAAACAGTTTCCAGAACATAACTTAAATTCCATTTGGCCCACAGTGTTAAACTTCATAGGATGATTGTCTATATTAGGTAGAATTCCCTTATTGATTTTGGGGTCACAAGGTCAAAGTTCAAGGTCACTATTACCTTAAAACTTGAAAAACAGTTTCCGGAGCATAACTTAAGTTTCCATTTGGCCCACAATATTCACACTTCATAAGAGGATTGCTATTTGGAAGGAGGTAATACTTCATTTAATTCCCATGTCTTACAAATGCTTCGTCCTTACATAAAAAAACAACACTTTCAGGCCTAGCAGTGGTCTTGTTTCTTCTATTTTTAACGTCGTGATTTTTAAGTCTTATTCAGGTTTAACAAACAAGTGACACAAATGTGGATACATTTGTATTCCCTAACAATCTTTATTGTGACATTGGTTGGTATTTGTTCTTGGCAGTTCTTTTTGTGAAGATACAGAGGTATGGCATGTATATGGTCAAAAACTGATAAAAGTTTGGTTCAACGCCCGTTTTCAAAACAGTAATTTCAGCATAGTAAGTGCTCCTACTAGCACCATACTAAAAACTTGCCAATCATGGCCTGGACTATCAAAAACACATTTTTGAGGTGCTATAGTTGACAACCACCATACTGTAATTAATAGACCACATTGGTGGCTTAATGAGAAGGGAAGCATGCAATCTGGAGGCGTGCTGCTTTTAAGACCAACTCGATAAAAAGGCAAAACTTTTAAAAGTTCTCTTTAAATAGATTTGTGCCAGTTTAATCCCCAAAATTAAGACACCACACTATTTATACCAATTTTGACTAGTCCCAGAATGGGTCTTCAAAGAGAGTTATCATTGTAGTTGGTCATTAATATAAATTAATTAAGGCTTAAAGGAAACATATGATTTCACTTCTTTTTAAACATTTCCCGCTGTTGAGGTATTTTCGCCACTAACGAAAATCCTCAGTCTCTATATATGGGATGTATTCCCAGTAAAATTGAACGACTAGGGCACGTAAAATATGAATTTTCTGGGACGAATAATTGTTACGATTAACCATTACTAATGTCCTTTAAACGTTTCATCTATTTTTCCGACGAGAGACATGTGGGTACTAAAAAGTACCTATATGTCGGTTAAGAAAAGCGTTTTTTTTTCGGTCTTAAAAAGAACATTTTGTAGTTTTCCAAAGAATTTTAGTAATGTGAATTTAATTAAATTTGGACATTTAATAGAAA